TCTCTGGTGGACAGAGAGGGAGAAACAGAAGCATTTGCAGTCGCTGCCTCAGAAGCATTTCCTGTGTGATAAAAGAGTAGCTTGATTTTCTTGGAGAATTTTTCACAACAGCAATTGACTGTCCCTGGTGCCAGTCAAGTCTACCCAGGACACACAGAACACCGTTCTGTCAGCACAAAGTATCAGCAAGTAGGTTCAGTCCTATAGTAGGCACTTAGCCCAGTGTTTGTCTAAGAAGCAGTTAACGTTAGCTGTTGTTATTAACAGGATTATTACTACTATCACTGAAAACATATCGAGTGGAGAAGTCAAAGATAAAATCAGCAAAAGTGTATAGAAAAAAACGTGCTTTGACCGTGGTTGTCAAAGCAGCCAAGGCATCTATTTGAGGAAGGGGATAAAATCTCACCAAGCAAAGGATGAAGTAATGTTTTTCAAACCTTGGATTATGACCCACTGCTGAGTTGCAAAATCAACCTCCTGGACCTTCGCTAACCTTGGGTGGAATATGGACTGTTCTGTGTAAAGTGAGAGTCACTGTTGTTTTGTGAAACTTTTGCACACCTGCAAGTGTGTACTGGACCAAACTGTAAACATGTTTCTGACTTTAGTTTGTGGTTTAAAAGCATTTGCCAGTCCTTGGGAAGTGTAAGGTGTCAGGGTACCGGGGTCCAGGTGAATAGCTCTGGGCATATCATTAAGATGAACTTCTGTTCAGCCTGGGGGCCAGGCTGTGGATCCCCAAAGAGAGGTTTGATTATCTTTAATCTCATACTTGCTGACTGGACCCTGGCACTTCCTGACTTTTTATAACAACATCGATGGATGGTAGTGATGATTTTTGGACACAGATTCAGAATCAAACTTGCAAAACAAGCACTCCAATTTTTGAAGAACCTAAGAGTATCACTTTGTGTGAGAACTTATCTCTTCTTTTTTAGTGCGGATCAGAAAATAGCACAAATGGTGGGCTAGTCCCCACTTCTGTATAGCAGTAAAATCTCCTGGGACTATCATTTCAGTGGCATCTTCAAAAACCTGGCAGATGGCGGAGGTGGCAAAGCGCTCCTTCTTGTAGGATTGGAACTCAAGGTGCAAAGTGCAGAAAAGAAACACATTTATGGCTACGTTCCCCAAATAAACTTCTATTTTCTCTCTATACTGGGTTTCCATTTCTGCTTTAGTATCTTACTGTCAAAACGACGGGGCTCTCAGCTGGCTTGAGCGCAGGCTGTGCTGCCTTATAAAAGGTAAGTGCTGATTCGTCAGAACTCAATTAGAATGCAACTCAGCATTAATAAAGAAAATAGAACATACACTGGTATGCCACTTAGACCTGCTCACAAAAGTTAACACTGATGGCAACAGTTCTAGATGTTAAGTATTTTAAACTGCTTTAGAACCAGCTGCGTAACCAGACATGATGCTGCCTTTTAACTATTCAAGCCCACACTGAGATCACACATTTACAACCTGGAATGCAGACATACAGCTCTTTTTGGACCTTTGAGGTGCTCTATTGTCTAACACAGTTCTGGAAGTTTGGAGGCCCGGAGTTGAATCTCAGTGATATGATCTGGGACATAATTTAAATTTTTCCCTATGCTTTTCTTTCTGCTGGAATAACAGCTGCTGGCCTGCTAATATTTAAGGTTGCTCAGGTGATATGACTTAATGGGTTGAGTGCGTTTAAAAAAAAGCACTTAATTCCCAATTGCTTCCCCGTTGCAGGGTAGTTTTATTAAGATAATACTTTTTATGTGCCAAATAGAATCACAGATAAGCTTAAGGGGAAGAGAAAAGCAGAAATATAAACTTCTGTATTTCAATTGTTTCCTCTTGAGAAAACAACCCAGGTGTTATTGCATGATCTTTTTTTGCCTAAGTTACAGGTGATCTTTCAACATTCTTGAAACACTCCCAAGTTAAATTGAAAAGAAGATCCCTTTTCTGATTTTGTTTCTCCTATGAAATCCTCTGGAGAGTATGAAGATCTTTTTTTTTTTAATTAAAAAGTTTATTTTTACATCATTTTGCACATTTGAGTATGAAGATCTTTTAACCTTCTTCAGGGGAGGCAACAACCATCTTTCTTTTCCTGTAGCATTGAAATATTATTGACATAATCGTTCTTTTCAAGAATTCTTTTCCTTTTCCACATGGCAGGCAAACTTGTTATCTATAAGAACAGTGCACACAGACTCATAAAAATTAAAACTAAAAGGGCTGTCAAGCACCGTCTCATCTGTCTTCTCATTTCACAGTTGAGGAAATTCAGACCAGCAGCAAGAGATTGTTCCAGCGCTGATGAGCGGCGTGGAGCTTGATGCCAGATTGGGTCCACGTATGTGTTCTTCCTAGGCGCTAGGTCTTCCTCAGCGCTCATGCTCATGTCCTCAGTGCTGTTTCTTCCCAGAGTTCAGCTGTGTAACTGCAGACCTGGTAGGGAGAGCTGCCTTCACCTGCCATCACACTTCAGTGTCTGGATGGCAACGTGGAACGACACACAGCGGGGTTCAGTAAGTGTCGATCTGTTGAACTTTGACACAGTGTTCTTTCAGCTCAGAAATGGGTTTGCAATGAAGAAACAGCTGTGAATCTCATGATTGACTGCCAGCAGCCTGTTGAGGTGCTCTGAGAGAATGTGCTTTCACTTTGCTACTTTAAAACAGTAAAGATGAATACAAACATACACTCCAGGATCTCAGACATCCTGAAGCATTGCTTTCCAGGAACAGTGAAAATTTTTCTACCTCTAGTAGAACTCTCTATGCAAGAGATAAAGAACAGAAAAGCAGGATGCTAACTGCAAGGGTCTTGGATGGCCGTCCGCGACAAGCTCTGTTGCCGGACCTCTGGGCCCCAGCAATGGAGAGTCCACGTTGCCTTCAAGCCCTACACTGTGAAACACCTTCTCATTATTTTACAAATATCAGCATCGAACTGGAGAATAATTTGGGAAAGTTCATGGCTTTTATGGCAACCCACAGCCAGGGATGCTGTCTTGACAAAATGTAAAATTACCTCCCGCCCTGAGCTGAAACTCTAGGACAGCGGCAAACAAGCCCTGCAGTATTATTTCAGATGAAGCACATGATAGCCTGCACTTCCTTCAGGCCTCCTCTTTCTTTCTGAACGAACTCCAGGGAATGGTATCACGTCAGGCTTTCCAGATGGATTATGTGAAGCCATAGCTCAATGTCATTTTCAATAGGAAGCCTCATAATTAAAGGTCAAATAGTCACTTCATCTGCAATCAATCAATAGAAAAAGTACTAATACAAAGACCTAATCAATCAATGGCAAATGCACTAATAAAAGCAATGAATCAAATTCAGCATGTGTAGATACAAATCCATGAAGAGACTGAGATAGCGCAAAAACAAGAACAATACAATAAACTGAAAGTGTATGTATAAGAGACTACTTAGAAGACCTCTCAAGCAAGAGTTTTCTTCTCTGGTTATTAGTTATTTGGGTAATACCTGGCCTGGGACAATTTATTCTTAAATGCAAAAGTTCAACGTAATGGTGAAGAGTACAGCATAAGGTCCACTAAATGTATTACACTTGAAGGGTCATAGATGTGTGTGTATGTGTGTAAAGTTCCTAGAAGAAATATTTATGACAGTGATTGCAAGAGGGATGAATATATTCTTCAAAGGCCAAATAGAGAGACCATTAGCTTTTATATTTCATCTTTGTGTGAGAAAGCAGATAGCCTGTAACTGCATGCTATCCACAATGGCCTCCAGCTCTCCGGAATACGAATCCTCCTGTCAGTGTGATGTTCTTTCATTTCCATGCAGACAGCATCAGGTCAAGGCTCACCCCCACCCCACCCCCATACCAGAGACATCAAGATGGAAACAAGCACTGGGTCTTCGGCAAGCTGATGGTGAGCTTTAAAGGGCCCGACACGCCCATTCCCATCAGACGCTGAACTTGCTGCTTGTGGAAATATGTGAGCTTCTGGGACTAGGGCGACCTGGCCCCTCCCCAGGATAAGAGGGGCAGCAGAGAGCCCGTTTTTCCTAAGTGCTTCCTAGGAGACTGCGGGGTGGGGGTGGGGGTTGGGTAGCAGGTGTGGTCAAGGGTGGAAGCGCCTCTCTGAGAGCCGCATCAGCAGCGGCGGGCACAGTTTCCTGTTCATCAGGGCCGGGAAGTAACTGCAGACACGCGCGCGCCATGGTCACTTAGATAACATACGCTGGGTAGATCTAAGTCCCTATTTCATGGGAGAACACGACAAAGGCAAACAAAAATCCAGGTCAACCAGCCCTTTGCAGGAAAACGACTACTAGCATTCAGAACACATCAGAAGCAGAAGAATATGGCTTGGGGCTTAGGACACACTTTTAAGAGAACAAAGACGGATCTACCGGCAGGTACCCTTGTCACAGAAGAGAACGTGGCTCTGCCCTGTGTGGTCCCGGGCAGAGCGCGTGCCAGGCCAGCATGGCATGGAGAAACCAAAACGCCCACTTTGCTTTCCCGACGACAGCACCCCTGGGTGGCCCGCGCCCCGGAAACCCGCTGCGCAAAGGCTGCCGTGAGCACTGCGCAGCTCCGCCTGGGCTCCCAGGAGGCGGGCTCGAGGGACCCCTGAGCCTGGGCAGCAATTCCAGGGGCACCTCCAGTCTTCCAAAGCCTAGTGGCTGCTGATTCCTCCTTCAGAGCAGTCCCCACACTGACCCCACTCCTCCTCCCTGCCTCCTTTTGACCCCAAATGCTAACATCCTGCACAGACATGTTTTCAGAAGAAACTGTAGGACCATCATAGATGAAATGAAATCGTAGGCCGTCACATTTAGGGCCTCAACAATTAGTTCAACCGAACAATGGCATTTCAAAGCCTCCTCCCTTTGCCCTGTCCTTTATTTAACGGAGTGGACAATACCCAGTTCCTTTTCATTTGAAGAGTGACTCGAGTTTCAAAGTAGTGAGAGGTAACTAGCTGGGAGTGACACTCAATTGGGCTTTGACTCTGAATCACTTACCCAAAGTGAGGGATTTGTGTGTAGAACAGAAAATGATGGCCACAGTATCTGCTGGGGTGAAGCCCGAATTATTCCTAGGGACAAAAAAAAAAGGGTTTTTACAAATCCTCTCATTAAAAGCCTCTAGAATACATCCTAAATCAAATGCAGTACCTACCTTCACGTTAAAAGCCTTTTGATCAATCCTGATGACAGAGAAGATAATTCTATATCCAAATGTACCAAAGTGTCTGAATTTATCATTAGAATTTCTCAATCAGTTCTGAGTCATTTATCCATGAAAAGGAGATAGTTTTTTTTTTTTTTTTTCATACAGGTGCAACTTAATGCATTTGTGCTCATTTTGACTTAATTTGTATGTACTTTTTTTTTCCTACTCCCTTTTTCCATCTTCTTTTACCCCTC